CTTTCAGGCGTGCATGTAGGCACAGCGCTCACATCAGCATGCTAATATGCTCATAACGACAATGCACACAATCTAATTTAGCAGGTATCATGTTTATCGTGTTCTTAACTTGTTAGCATGCTATCTAATTAACACTAAACACAAGTAGCCTACTGACATTCAGTGACTCACACTCTCTCCTTTCCTAAATTTTCAAGCAGTTTTTTATCATTATGAATCAATCAGGAAACATTGTATAGATTCTGTGAAACACAGAGCAGACTCAATTGGTGGTCAATATTGTTTTGTGCAGAATAATTGCTACGAGTTGTATTTGTTTTTCTTCAAATTTAATGTGTGATTCAGCTTGACAACAAAATGAATGAAAGTTAAAAAAAAATCAAAGCTCTATTTTTTTCTTTCATTGATTTTGAGCCACTAATATGCTCTTGTAATGCTTAGTGATTTTAAGCATACCAATAACACTGCCAGTGCCAGTTGTTCAGCATCAGGCATGAACGTAAGATACTGGGAAGTAGGTTAAACTGTCTATATATAGTGTGCAGAATGATTTGTGGGAATTTGGATTATTACAACAGTGTAACAACACATAAAACCAAAACAAAACATAGTTTAAAACTCAAGTAAAATGATTATCTTCAGAGTCTCAGTTCTGGATCAACATTCTACACATATATTTTATAATCATCATATATCAAAATTTGTATATAATGTGATTTTGTTGATTTGTTCTGTACACTTGACATTTAATGCATGTCTGCCCTGGGAGAATGATCCCTCATCTGTGGCTCTTCCTCCTCTCAAAATTTTCCACCATTAAAAGTGTTTTTTTTTGGGGGGGGGGACCTTGCCCTTAACAGAATCAAGAGTCGAAGGACACAGGGTGCTGAATATTGTACAGATTGCAATGCTCCCTGAGCCAAATTGTGATTAGAATTTGATTTGACTTGACTTCAACCAAAATGTATTTTTGATGAAGGAACAGGCAAACATCATCATCAATTATACATTTGTTTTTGCCATTGGTGTTGACGGACAACAACTCAAACATTAAGCGGAGCATTTTAATTTTAATATAATATAAATTATATAGAATATAAAACACCCAAATAGAAAAGACAGTAAGGTGAGGAAGTGCAATCTACACCCATCCACACACACTTACATGCTACAGACAATATTCTTCCCTTTCAGACCTTCATGCATCTTCTTGTTCCCCTTACATGTGCCTTTTCTAAAAAAACCCACAAGCCCAATGAGTCTCCAGTTCAGCTGCCACACAGAATTTATGAACGGGACAGACATGTTATATCATCACCTGTGGCCATTCACAAGTCAAGACTATACAGTTCAAGTACAGAATCACATTGAAGTTTAAATTCTGTGTAAAAGAGTGGATAGAAATGTTCTGAGACAGACCACTATCAAGATGCACAGCTGCTCTCACCTGCACGTCTTTGTCAATGTGGCCATCTAGTGGAGGAAAAAAAGAGCACAAGTACAGTTACAAATGCCATCACATTACATTGTACTCAATTAATAGATGTGTCCTGCAGAAATTAAAAACGTCATGGAAGATCTGTTGATTCCCACTAATTTAGTATGAATGGGATATGGAATAGAAGGGCATACTTTCTCTAATGTCTGCAAATATAAACAAGTTAACATCAATCATGACAAATTACATACTATATGTATAATGAGAGATAGATAGAGATAGATGTTAAAACACTTGATTTAACATCAGCTCCAAATGTTCTTCACATTGTATATTTGTCCTCAATTATAGCTTTCCTTGTGACTATACAGCTGACAAATGTGGCAGGGAAGCCACTGCACCAGAAAATACATGTGTGGCAAGCTGTTGGCTTTCATTCATTGTGTGTACTGCTTTACCTCACTAAACACAAAGTCAGCTTTTTGTTGGTTTATGTTCAAAACACCCATAAAGCCTGAAATAACAGAAGCAAAGATTAAAAGAATGATTCCCAGCATTGATATAGGAGATACATTTTATGTTGCCATAGCTACCAAGGCTATGAGAAGGAAACCTTGCACTTATTATCTAGAAATGAAACACTTCTTTCAACACACCATGCTAACCTCCGAGCAAATGGAAAGGACTGAAGTCGTTTTAAAATAGGTTTGATGTGGAATCATTAGTGCTCTGGAATATGAGATATTATTGTCATGTCTCAAGGTTCAGTCTGTTTGCATACAGTGTAAAAGGACACTTTCATTCATTCTGTATAAATAACCCTGTTTAGAAGGATTAGAGTGGTCTTTACAGGTAATAATCAAAGGGCACATCCTTTGTGTCATTTTTTACAATATCCTCTCTGTCTTTCTGCCTCACCACATCTTTTCAGCAAAGCCCTGTAAAGTCAATTGAGATCCCCTGTCATACTTACTACTGACCATTGAGGACCACCACTGGATCAGTTAGGAGTGAAGAGTCATGGTCAAGGGAATCCGTTATTGCAGGAGGGAAGAGCATGACTTATTAATCTCTCCCCATTCACACTTTCCCAGTCAGCTTTCATTAAGCCACTTTGCTGTTACTAGTTCGCTATATATATATATATATATATATATATATATATATATATATATATATATATATACACAATACTCTGTCATATATAATCAGCCACAATACATGTGAATTATAGTTACTTTATAGGAGATTTGAATCCATGAAGTTGTTTAATAGGCTTTGGTAATAGAGCTTAAAACTGAGTGCCCTATATGAAAATTAAAGAAAGAATATAACAGGATATTTTGTTGTTCTTTGTGGAAAATCAATCACATATTGACAGAAATGTTTGTGTTCAGCAGTCAATTTGGTTATCATCAGTTTTCTTATGTGTTTCTCTTCTGAAAGCTTTCACTTACCTTTTTAATTAAATCTTAAGTGCTTGAATTTAGCCAAAAACCACAAAGGTGTGTTTATTTCAACTAAGAAAATCGTTTTTGATCATTGTTGGTGCCACACATGAGACACTTTCATGGGTAGCTGTAGTGTCACTGGGTTACAGGTATAGGTATTAAAAATCAAAAGCTGAAGTAGATAAGCAATGTCAGTATGTTTGATCAAAGAAAAGATCACTTTTTTTTTCAGGTTTTGTTTATTGTATTTTTCACACTGTATGCAGATTAAAGTCAATACAATTTATAACAAAGCATTATATATTATTTTGTGGCTGAACAGTACATTACGTTGCTAATTGCAATTTTTTTTAATGTTGCTAATGTTCACCCCCCTTTAAATATTTTGGTTTTTATTTGCGTTTTTGTTGTGTTTTTTTCAAGTCATAATGGCTGTCTCTCAAGCTCTCTCTGTTAGTTGGCTGATTGTACTATATGTCTTAATCTAAGTTTTCTGTAAGGATGGAACAGTATATTTTCTGACTTTTCTGAATTGATTAATGGTTTGGTTTCTATATAATAATGCTTTAAAAAAATCTCCAAAAGATCAGTTTAATTGCTTCATAAATACCTTGAACGATTAATGGATGGCAAAATAGTTGCTGATTAAACTTTCTGTCTATTAACCAAACAAATTGTTTCAGCTGTTATTGGAGAGATATAGGTAGAAAAACGGTAAAGTTATCCTTTAATGTCATCCTAATAGATTTCCTGACCTCAATCTTTTTCTTTTTCTAGCTTTTTTCTTTCTTTCTTCGTTCTTTTCCTTGTGTTGAGTAGTTACTTTCTTTTTACCATGCCTGTCTGCGAGTGAGGCTTCTTATCACAACACAATCTTTGGCTCCTTCCCTTTTAACCATACGTCGTGCGTCATGACGTCATGACGGGGCGGGGTGGAGGACCGCGGGGCGGACGGCACTCGGAGGAGGGGTGCCGCTCGTTGAACGACTGTGTCAGCTCCAACAGTTTGCTATCACCCTTGTAAGTGTGAAATTATATTTGTACTTTGATTTTGGTTTTTGGTTTGGTTTTTTTTTGTGTGAGTGTGGTTGTTTTACCGTCGGTGTGTGCGCGTGTGTAACGTGTGGCTCTGTGCCGCGAGCGGAAAGCTGTTAAAGAGTGTGGATGTAGATATATTTCCATCGTGTTAACAGCTCTGTACAATGACACACTAACGGGACTGTCAACCCTGAGTCCGATAACACACTGCTGCTCGCTGACAACACTGACGCGCCACTGAACTAACGTTAACATGTCAGCGACTTTTTTTTAGCTTTATACGCATTGCTTCACCAAATGTCACAGCATACACGCAGACTTCGCCTGTTGTTACTTTAAAGTAGCGTAAAGTAAGGTATATGTTACTCAACGGGGAATTTCTTTGGACGTATCTTTCGTAACTATCGCTATATATTTCATCTCCTATGGTGTCAGCTGAACATTCATATGCGGACGTTTTGCTGTACTACTTCAATAACAAAATAAAAAATGTTGTGGGACATAAGTCGTGGACAACAGGTCTTGCCTCACCGCCTATATAGAAGGAAATAAACCGCAAATAATTCGACGCATTTGGTATTTGTACTCACATGATCCTCTTGCTTAAGTTGTAAAGTTGTGAGTAACGTTAGGTATTTATTTTACTACGATGCTGTCATATTGATGTGTCTCAGTGGCTTATGATATTACACAGGGCCCTGCTAGTAGCTTGCAATCTACACAAGTTTTAATAAACCCCCAGAAGGGTTTATTTTAGTCTCAACTGGCTAATGCAATTTGATGGGCTGAAGACATTTCATGGCCTGGTAAGGATGGACATCCGCAGCCTCATTAAATCGGATCCCTAGTATTCTTCCACAGAGGAGCATTTTTTTCTGCAACCTATTATCAGTGTCTGGGATACAGACAGAGACATACGCACTCTCTCTCACACACACACACACACACACACACACACACACACACACACACACAGGCACAAAGCACACAGGCAGACGCAGAGAGTACAATGTGCCAAGGAAGCATTTAGACGATTACAATTTTCATCTCACTTTCTCTCTTCTTTGTTGAAGATCTGTGGGCCTGATGTAGCAGGTTGTCATCTCCTCTGCAATGAAGGAAACCCGCTCCAGCGTCATGATTATGGACTGGAGGTTTGTTTTCATGCACTTACTCTACTCATCCATTCTCTCCCCTCTCTTGCTCCATCTCTGACCGTTTTTCTAACCTGGTGGTTTTGACACTGCTCTGTATGCACTGTAGATACACACGTAGAGGGTTCGAAGGGTCCGATATGACATGATGTATCCCACTATCTGTTCAGCATACTCTGCTAAGTGGCTTAGAGCTTGGCTGCCCCTTCAGGGCACTGCTAACGCAGCCATTCATGTCTCACTCCGACAGTCAGACCACCACGATGACGCTACCCTCCTCCTCCTCCTCCTCCTCCTCCTATTCCCACTGCACTCACATTGTGCATTCCCTTTTAGGAGCTGAGCCTAGAATTGAGAGTCTTTGTATGAGTTTAATGTGTTTGTGTATATGTATGTGTGTTTGCATGCACAATGCTTACAAAATAGAATGCAGTGGTTTCTAAAGATGGAGTTGCCTCGTCCTCTAACACTTCATCACATCAGCTTCAGATGCGATGAAGATGTGCTCATCCTGGATCACATCACAAGATTAACACAGCTTGCTGTATGCTTGCCTTGCTGTCAGGGGGGGTGATTAATTGGCCATGTGTACAGGAAGTCTGCAGGTCTCACAACAAAGCTGCAGTCACATTATTAGAGACATGAAGATGATATGAAGTAGACTATAGTTCAAGTTATACATATTCTGGTTTGATTTATTTGTTATGTTGTAAAGACTTTACATGTTTTGATGGGAAAGGACGACAAAAAATGGTTTTGTAAAGATGATTAATACTGTACAGTGTAGTGTAGACATCAAGTCTGCTGTAGACTGGCGGCGATCTGTTGATTGTTTACATAAATATAATAAGGAATGTACTATATGCACATCTGTAGCAAATATGTACCAAAACCACTGCTGTTTCATTTGTTTTTATGACCAGTGTGAAACTCATGCATAAACAAAGTGTGAATGATATTATAGTGTTTGTTGAAATAAGTTACAAATCCTCTGTGTCCTCCGATTTCTCCCCATAGTTTCTCTTATTTACTGCCTAACGCATGGCTGCTCCCTCCTGTTGAAAACGTGATATGTTGTGTACTGTAGAGACAGAGATATACTGCAAATACCTGGGTTTAGTTCTTGGGAAGCTGGTGAGGGGTCATGTCTTTGGTGTTACACTGGAGTCCTTCTAGTTGGTGAGAGCAGAAGAAGACAGAAGTGTGTATCACATGAGGCACGTGGTTGTATACACGTACATCCTGATATTACAAGGGAATTGGCCATGTGGGTGAAAGTGCTCTTATCAGCTCAAATCATGTGATAGTCTTAAATCTGTAGAGTTTCTTAACATATTTATCATCATTGCTTGAAACACTCACATTCATGTTATCTTGGTCAGTGTCATTTGTACTGCATATAAACTAAGGCTGCACATTTTCTTAAAGGTAAAATATGTAACAGAACAGCATTATGATGAAGTAGTAGCTGCAGAGATGCCCTGGTCTACAAATCTTGTTCTTCAGATTTAAGAACATGTTTGTGATGCAAAAATGGTAATTCCTGCACTAATCATGAATCATATTGCAATATATGTCAGACAATACAATGTTTTTACCATATCATGCAGCCCTTATATACATACCACTGAGATGAAACAGTCACACCATGACACTTAATACCTCATCATGTAGTTTTTTTTAATGTATGTAAAGTTTTAGATTGTAGTTTTGTAAATGTGTTGTCCTTTTTTTTCACAAATAAATGATGTAAAAATGTTCAGTAAGGGATTCAAAAGGATTCAGATAATCTGTTTTTTGCCCTTTGGAGTCTAAATCTCAGCATTATTCAGGCAGTGATTTGGCTCTGTTCTCATAACCAAAGGCCAGGCCATGGCTAAAGAGGAAGTGTTGTATCTCTGAGAGGAAACTCTCTTTCCTTTCCTCTCTTTCTCTCCCTCTCTCTGTCTCTTGCTCTCTCTCTCTCTCTCTCTCTCTCTCTCTCTCTCTCTCTCTCTCTCTCTCTCTCTCTCTCTCTCACCTTCTTCCCCTTCCTGCAGGGCTTTGCTGTTTGAAAACCCATGGGGTAGCAGAGGTGTCATGGTGCAGCTTAATTTAGATGCCACAGACTGAAATCATTCCTTATCTCTGCTACAATCAGAGGTTTATACCCATTGCCATCAAGAAACATGCACAAGTGTAAAGCTTGGCTGTACTATCATGCTTATCCTGAAACTGTGGACAGACTGGGTTTATTCTCTCACTGACTCCCACACTTCCAGAATGAAGGTGAAATTCCTGTATAAAAGCTGTGGTTTCTAGTGGCAACGAGCTGCCTGCTTCCCTCTGATCCCTTCCTGTTTGAAGACAGAGGCAGAAAAGAAGCAGGGGTCACACGTTTGCACTTTAAAGCAGGGCTGAGGTCCGTGCTTTAGTATTGAAGGTCAGGTTCACAAATTTTAAAGGCTGTCTTAAAACAACAGTGAGGTGCCCATATGAACATTGAAAAGGGCATCCACAGACCTCTGTGTCAAAAATATATCCCAAAGTTCATCTGACACCTATGAAGCTTTGAGTTAGACAAATAAAGCGAGTCTCTTCCAAAGTTAGTTGTTTTTGTTTTTGTTTTGTATATAATTCTAACACCAGTAACAAAACGAGCCAATTTTGTGCTAAAAAGGTTGTAACTTTGGAAGATACCCATTTAATTCGTCTAACTTTGACAGCCCTGGCTATATTAGCTTCTGATAAACTTTTGATCCATTTTCGCATGAAAGGATGACTGTGGATTTTTATTTGGATCAATATTATGTTATATAGACTTTGCCTTCTTCACAAAACTGCATACATTTTAATAATCCTTCGTTCAGTCCGTTTACATCTTCTTGTCTTTAAATAGCAGACTTTAGAAGATTGGATATTAAAGTTTGGATGTCAGGAATATTTTCTTTCAACGTAAATCCTGTGTAGAGTGTAGACTTGATATTACTGACCCACAGCCTATGTGTTGAACCCAATATTAAAGTAGTAAAAGCTGTGCTGATACCCTCTAGCCCCCCTACTGGGCTGTAGAGGTGTCTGGTTACCTGAGCCCAGAGATCTGACTGAGGAGTTATTTAAATAAGTGACGATGCTGATGATTTATATGTGAATGCGTAAAGTTGTTCTCACCTGCTGGCACCACAAAGAGTCAGATGCCCTATGACCTTATAACCTGACCGGTTTCTCTCTTCAGTTGTGTTTTGACCCTGACGTGCATCCCCTTTCCCATTCCTTATGTCTGTGCGCCTTTAACACAATCTCTGGTATGAGATTTCAGCTGGTGTGTAGGTGGTTTCCAGCCTGTTGACAGTTGATGATGCTCTGGCAGCGCTGGTGGAATATGAGCTATGTTGGCCAAGTTGAAGGCCTGGCCACTGTTAAACACCTATCGGGTTAGTAAGTGAAGACCACTTTGCAGGGCTTGAAATTTATGACATACTCTGCTAATTTTTCCTCTTGTCCACTGGAAAGCCCCTCTTGAGAACATCTGTCTTACTCGTGATCAGCAAGAGAATGAGATTCTGAGAATCACCTCTCTCCATCAGGTCAGACACATTAGGCCTCCGCTGAGTGGTGTTCTAGTCAACATGGAGCAGTGTCAGTTCTATGCACATGGTGAATTATTCATTAGGATGCTTTCTATGGTGTTGAGCACAGATGCAGTGGTGTACTTTAACTAAGGCTTTCCCTGTAAACGTACAGCTGCATCCAGCGTAATATTTAACATGCAATCTGATGACTATCAGCCAGTTTTCAGTTATGTTTCACTTCACTACCCTGCTGTCAGATTGATATCCAACCCCTCTGTATAGCTGATACCTCAGAGATACATGTGATATTTACAGCCCTGTACAACCCTAAAACATCAACATAGTAGATCCTCTGTGGAGATGAAATTTAAATAAGCCTCTAACAAGTCTCTTTGTTACTTTTGTCTTTGCAGCCTCCCACCACACAGACTTTGTTAAGTAGTCGTAGATGACTCAGACTTGCTTCACACCCAACGTACCACCTGTTGTTCCCTTTGTGTAAGTGTGTGTCTTGGGTACATGTGTGCATTTGTATATTTTCTATTTATTTTTTGTGATCAACAATTTTATTGGTTTTCACAGCAATATGAGTGGGGGGTGGTAACAAGGGATGTAGTTAGAGATGGTCTCCTGTTGCCAAAGAGATAAAATACAATCAGAGATATTAGGTAAGGTAGACTTCCACAACCACACATGAAGGTTTTGCCTTATTTAAACTTAAGTCAATTTTTTTTAATGGGTACAGGTCAATTTAACACAGATACCAGATCTCCAGTAATAGTCTTAATGGCAGCTCTACAAGCAGACAACATTTTTCATTCTTCAACCTTTGAATACAAGTCTGTGGTGACATTAAGTAAACGTGGTTTTTTTTATGTTTGCATGTGTGAGTGAATGATTGTGTGTCTTCTGATTTGTCTTGTTCCTGGAAAGCTGAGCGCAACTTTGGCAGCAGGGCCTCCCTGTGGGTTTCATCTTGCACAATAGGGCGTTGTGCCTCCCTCTGTCAGGGAACTACCTGCCATTCACCTCCTCATTCAGACACACTGTGCTGAGCGCCTGAGCTGAACCCGACACGGCCAGGCGAAACACGCCTTAGACGGACGCCTTTGATCCAGTCTGGCCTCTTTCACTCCTTCTGTAACCCTCTGTCTCTCTTCTCTCACTTACTCTCCCTATCTGATACAAAGAGTTGTGTCTCTTATCACCCTCTTTGCAGTATGCTGAAGTCATCTCCTGCACGGTCAGATCTGATACACATTTGCTGCCTCCCTGCCACACGCCCAACACACACACACACACACACACACACACACACACACACACACACACACACACACACACACACACACACACACACATACAATAACGATTGTTCCTGTTTCCTGCCTATGCTGTCATTATGCAGCTGCTGAATGAGATATGGTCCAGTTTCCATTGGTCATCAGACAACGCACCGAGGCGCACAGACATACGTACACGTGCACATTTCTACACAGTATAATTATATATAATAAGTCTTTTTCTTCCCTTTTCTGTCTTTGTCAGATAAAAACTCAAACACAAATTTGCGCATACACTCGCACACAAGCATCACTGCCAGAACTCTCTGGCCTAATTCCCCTCTTATTGATGTGTGTCTGTCAGTGAAAGAGGCGCAGCACAAAGAGCAGCGATGGGCCTATGTGTGGCTCAGAGGGAACAAAGAGTGGTCTATTCCACGCCAGCTCTCAGACTCTTCTGGAAACACTGCATGGGCTTGTTTAATCAATGGCCATATTTTGAGTTAAGCAACTGTATGTTCAACGATGAACAACAACATGGCTGCTTCAGTGTTAAAGAGCATGAGCCAGATTGACCTCCACTTGTGTTGGTCATGCCCAGTTTGCAACTTTTTTCTACGTCAAATGTGGAATTAAATAGAACAATTTAAACTTATATTGCGCCTTTCTAGTCTTCCGACCACTCAAAGCGATTTACACTACGTCACATCCACTCATTCACAGACATTAATGCACTGATGGCGGGTACAACTGCTCATCAGAAAGGAACTAACCATTCACATGAACTCACACACCGATGACACAGCATCGGGAGCAATTTGCAGTTCGGTGTCCTGAAGCCGAGGACCCGCTCTACCTCCTGAGCCACAGCCGCCCACATAACTAATTTATCTCACGTTATTGCAGAGTATCTGCTTTATTACATAGCTATTTGAGTTGTCACCCTCACCATTGTAACTCTGGGCCTTAATCTCCTTTTTAAATGATCACCTTTGTATTCTTTGTTCAATAATGATAATGGATGTTATTAGAACACCTCAGTGCCACATCTTCGTCAATATAATCTTTCTGCCTGAATGAAGCTGCAGCTTTTTTCGATCAAGAGACATAAAGTGGACGTTTACAGACAGCTGCTATATTGTGATTCATTGTTAAACACTTGTTAGAACTTGACAGAGCCTAAATGAGGCAAAGCCATCAGGAAATTAAAGAAACAAGATGATTGTTGTATTTATCACAATATCTCTTAATTTCGCCATATTAATTCACACATGCTTGTCTGTAAAATGACAAATTGCCACTGTGAGCTGTTTTTTCCCAGCCTTCCAGGCTCTGCTGAGCTTTCACCATCTCTCTAGTTTAGCTGGCCAAAGACAATGACAGCAGGACCGGACGACTGGCAGCTCAGCTGAATGGAATGAGCTACAGCGCTAAGGACAAGGACGTGTGTGTGTGTGTGTGTGTGTGTGTGTGTGTGTGTGTGTGTGTATTTATACAAGGGTATGAGGGAGGGTGACACAGTTCCAGAGAGGCCATTGTCCATGTGGCTGTTTGTAATTCACCTTTGACAATATTGTTGAATTTCTGAGAAACATGCTGACTCACTGAGGCTGCTAACCCCGACTGTCACTGACACCTGTTAATCACTGATAATCATCTGTTTCTGTAGTGAACAGGGCTTAAAGACACAGAAATACATCCTCCCGCTCGCATGTTTTTGAGGTTGACCCGCGGAGCAAGTGAAGAGAGAATTTTCCTGATGGAGGAATCACCAAAGTACAGTATAGCATTTTTGTTAAAATTGTCTGAAGCAAAGACTAAAAGGAAAGTGAATGCAACATGTCTTGCTCATCAAGTAGTTATAAGCAATTTTTTACAGATTTTTCGGAAATAAAACAACATTTTCTTTCAGATACAGATTACTAACTTGCCGTTGTTCAGCTGTGCAGACTTTTGCAGTAGTATGTTGGGGCACTGTCAGTCGTGTAATGTGTTTGGGTCAGAACAGGACAGTTGTCAATCCAAAGATCCATCTGGTGTTTGTTCTTTTGGGTCATCACCTCATCAAGGTGGAACGAGGAGCTTTGCTTAAATTCAACAAAGATGCAGGATGTCTCACACATACGCAAGCATACACACCAAGTCTGACAATAAAGCTTTGTCCTCTAAAGGCTCCTGAAAGAGGATTTAGTTTGAATATAAAACCGTAGGCAATCAAGAAAACATCCAATCCAGTGTTGGGATCATCCTGGGGATGAAGGAGGGGATTTACAGACACAGAGGGAGGGATGGGCACCGGGGTTGGAACAGGCCTTCAGGTTCAGCTTCAGCTTCAGGACAGGATTAACTTAGGTTTACCCTTCCACTCACCAGCTCTGACACAACAGAAACACAGTGCTTTATCATAATCAATTACACGTCACTGTGACTGCCAGAAAATGCCACTTGCTGCCTCAGTATAATGGTGCATGCATGCATGCATAATCAAGCATGCATGTAGTCTTGATTATGTTACACTTGTGTGCATAACTGTTCACATTCTCTGGTCGTACAGGAAGTTCATAGAAAGTTCAACAAAGAAAAAAAACCCGACAACTAAAAGTAGAGAATGTATTTCATTGTACTGTGTTTCTACTGAAAAAAAATGTAAATATATGGAACCATTCCCCAACTGTAATCAGTACAAACTTCAAATTGAAGCTGTGTTATTATAAGTATGAAAGGCACTGCCTAACGGTTGACAACACAATATTTTATGAGCTCTACACAGCAGCCAGCTAGCAGGTGACTTAAGCGAACCTGCTCAACACCTGCTCTCTTTCGCTATCTGTGGTAGGCAACAGCCACATTTAACTGATTGGCATCACCATATTGACACTCATCCTTTGTATTAAGCACATCAGTATCTGCTAGTCTGAATCTGCCTGCTGAACAGAAAAGATTAGACAAGACCAGATTTACAATCAGCTTGTGGAGAAAGTGAAAGCTGCTGTGCGAATGTGTTTATGTGCATGAATGCGGCTTTTCTTGGCAGTAACAGTGTGGCCATTGTGAAAAGCGATACGCTACCTGCAAGTAGCTTCATGCTCATTCTCCTCCTGTCTCTGGATCTAGTGTAAAACTGAACAGCTGATTGTATTCAGAGTGATGTGAATCCAGCCTGTCACAGCTTCATTTGCATAGATTACATTCTTGCAGTTTTAAGATGTGTGTGTGTGTGAGTGTATGTGCCTGTCAGTCCAACTTTGTGTTATTCATCATGACCTGACAGTGCAGCTGAAGGAATATAGTTTGAGTATGTAACCGTCTCTCCCCAGGGCTCTGAATGTTCCTGCCTTGCTTGTTTTGCTGCCCTCAATGGGAGCAGCTATTGATGCTGTAGGGAGGCTCGGGCTGGCTGCCTGTCTGTCTGTGGGTCTATCTCTGAGGTGATCACTGTTCCACCAATAAGGTTCCTTCTTGAGGAAGACAGCAGTGTATGTTATCAGGTTGGGTTTTGTCTCTGACTTAAATTCAGCCAGGCAGTTTGCAAGGCTGCAGGAGACGGTCATGCATCTGCGTTCTATGTTTGTGACCCTGCATTGTATGTTGTTTCTAGTGCGGAAACCCTTGTCTCTTGATACTGCCACAGGATAAGGAAGGCATGCCTTTGGGGATACTAAATGAGCTCCTTATGGAACACACAAACATATACACGAGGTTGTGTCACACAATATAACACATATTCTTTTCAATATGCCCAACATGTTCACAGCTCACAGTGAAAATGATTATTGATTGCAAACAGAATGATGCTGGCTGATATCATTCTTAACATCTGCAGGTCAGGGAGTGCATTGAAGATTGAAGTTTCGTATCTTAAAAAAGATTCTGTTTTTCTTTCTTTCTGGTCTCTCTCCATCTATCCACCTCCCTCTCAGGTAATCCACAAGAGTGAGTCACACGACGCTGACAGTTGGCCTGATGGTAGGTGGGTTTTTCTTATTCTGATTTGAGTCATTATCTTTCTCCCTCTCTCACTCCTCTACTCTTCTCTCCATCCTTTTGTTCATTCCACCAGCCTCTTGTGCCTTTCTGACTCCGTTCCCCTCCAGGCTGTTGTAGTTTTAGCGTGCATGTTCCGGCTTACTTTGAATTAATTTATGCTTAATTTTGTGATCTTTGTGTCATGCTAGCTAACCTGGATCCAGTTTGTTTATACCATACATTTGCTCATAAAACATTGGCCTGTTTCAGTGTATAATGATTCAGAGGCTTGTCACAGCTGTAACTGAGGCAGCCTGTCGGATATCTTCAGCTGAGGATACAGTATTTATCCTATATTCTTACCTAATAATAATATTCCTAAATTACAATTGCATAGTTGCTTATTGGTACTTGATTGTAGATCAGTGCTGTCCAGTTTGCAGACTAATTACTGCAAATTCACATCTTCTGCCATTTGCATGAAATTTCAAAGATGCAAATGGTCACGAGTGAAAATGAGTTATGGTGATTAGTGCATGTCACTGGATCTTGGCAACATTCCAGCCTCTCATAATCCATCTCTCTCTCTGTGCTAGACCAGCATGGCTACTTGTTCCTGAATCAAAGATGCATGCTCTCTCTTTGGATTCATCCCCCTGACCGCCACTGTGCCGATCAAACCCTCCATCAGACAGTCCTATCTCCACTTCTCTGGCCTCTACTATACTCTACTGTTTCCTAGTCTTCTCTCCTTCAGTCATTGTCCTGGTCTGACCCTCTGCATGTAGAGAGGAAAGTGTTGGCAGACTGTTTAATAGGACAGTTTCTCCCTGCTATTCATGAGAGGTCAGCAGGGCCATATGCAGCCGGGGGATAACAGTCAAAGGGAGCCAGAGGGGGTGGGCCCCAGTTCAGGTCCTGGAGCTAGAAGAGAGGCAGCAGGGTCACAAGGCCCAGGGTTGAAGAGGGCCTCATCGCAGTCAGAGAACCCCTCGTTCAGTAAGATGAGCCAAAACGCCAGGGAGAGCATGGGGGTTCTTGGCCAGGGACTGAAACAGCTGTTCCAGCAGCAGCGTAAACGCCTCTCCCTCTCTCGCTCCACCATCCCCTCCTCGTCTTCCTCCTCGTCTTCCTCTGTAGTGTCCGCAGGTGACATTGCCCCCTTTGCCCCTGAGGACGCCTCGGGGCCCTGCTGTCCTGAATCTGACCACCTCTCTGCTCCTGTGGTTCCCTCTGCAGCTGGGCAGGGCTCAGCCACTGCGGGCACGATGAGGCGTGGGACCAGCCTCCAGAGCCGGCGCAGTAAGGGATCTGGGTCGGGATCTGGGAGTGGAGACCGCGATCCTCTCCTGAGAGGTAGCCCCCAGGCCCCGCACCGCCGCAATACCCACGATCCACAGCACCATACCAGCCGTCCACGCTCCTCTTCCACCACTGACACCACCCCTAGTAGCCCCACCCCTGGATATGTTGGCTGCGATGTGGTGCTGTCATCAGGGTACCAGTCCACGGAGGAGACGGACAGGGTAAGTGACAGCAGCCATGAATCATATTATCACTTCACAAGCTGATCGATGTGTCTCTTTTACCCTTTTATTGGTGTCAGGCTGAAGTTCACCTTGCTGCTGATGCAACACTTCCTGCTGTATTAGCTGTGAATTCAGAGAGAGGGTCTTTACTGCTGTCTGCTTACTATTGATCAAGTGGAAAGATATTTTTGACAACCAGTACATCATTATTAATCTAAGATGAGGCCAGATATCCACGGTGCAGCTTGCTAACAAATGAAACACATACATGCACACATATAAATACATAGATACACACTTACATACATAACCCCATACATAACAGTGTAGCCAGTGTTAAAGGATAGGTTCACAGTTTTTCAAGTCTTTCTGCTTTATAAGTCAGGGCCATATGAACATTGAAACAAATTTTACTGGCTGTAATCATTCCTCCTTGTTCATACCATCATTGCAAGATCCCTTCCTAACATGCTTAAGTGTAAGAGATGGGGGACAAAAAAAGAGGGAGTTTTGTACTAAAATGACTAACTTTAGAAGATATTCACTTGATTGACCAACTCAGGCTGCTGAAGCAGCTCATAATAACTTTAGCTAAACTTTGAAATGTGTTTTTGCATGGAACAAAGTGGATTTTGCCCCCCATCACTTCCATTGGAGCACATGAGAAAGGAATCTTTTATTGGCCAGAATTAAGTGGAGGAAGGAAAAACTGTCGTAATGTACATATAGCCACTGGACTATGGTTTAATCATCAGAAGCATATGTCTCTTTGAACATTCTTTTCTTGGCTTACAGTAAATGCTGCAATATACATGGATATGCTTTCTTTTTTATTCTACTTTGATAATCATCTATTTATATAGTGCATATATAGTCTATTTGAAATACATTTGATTGCCACATGGTTTGTGAAAAGTTCGGCCTTTCTTGTAAGACTGCAGTGTGTTTAATCCAAAGAGAACATTAAGAATAGTTTTCTGCAACTCCTGTAATAGAAAATAAGTAGCATTGATTGTAAAACCTCACATCACTTTACAATCAAATCTTTTACCGCAAGTTCTCATTTTAAACCACCTTAGGTATCCCAGACTTCAGTTGGTTTTGTCTGCCACCAGAGGTCACTGTCAGATCAGCTAACCTGCTGTGAGCGGCACTAGGCTTGGTTCATGTGGAGGTTGTGTTTGCATTATGAGGATGTTTGTTGTAGACTGATTGGTTAATGAAATAAACTGTGTAGGACTGAGTATCAGTGTGTCACAGATATAGTGATGTCTGGTTATTAATCCAGCGGTGGGCAGTCAGTCTAGACCAGTGGGTGTTGATATCCACATTTACTGACAGCTTTAATCTGTGAGCTAGTTTAATGTACCCCTTCCTCCTTTCTTCATCTTCAAACTCCTTCTATCCTTCAGTCCTGTGTAAATGACCTCACCTGGGATGACGGAGCAGGGCTGAAAGCCAGACATCTGTGCTCCATTAGTCCTGCTGCTGTGATAGACAACCATGAACCTTTCAGTGGTCTGTCGCTCGCCCTTGAAAGAGATGATAACCTGTCTAGCCCATCTCTAGCTACCATCACAGCCCCGTCTCCACTCGTCAACAGAGCAATGTCATTCAGGTCATCCAAACAGTCGCCGTGGTAACCCCCGAAACTTGCTGTAAGCTTGCCTAGAACTACGCCCTGCTTGGGTTGCCATAGTAACAGCGTGGTCGACCTTGGAGGTGTGTGATATCCTGCTGTTAGTGGAGATTGGGGGTTGTATGCTTGTCTAAATTTGAGTGTGAATCAGGAATGGTGAATCTTTATTTCTTTCTTTTCTTTTAAAAATCACCCTCCTGCCTTCCACTTGTCTTTTCTTCCTCTTTTCTCTCTCTTTACCTCCCTGTTTCCCTTCCTCTGTCCCTGGAGAGAGTTAGTATAGACAGTCAGCTGGTCCCTCCTCCTCTCCCATCTCCCCCCTCCTCCTCTTCCTCTACCACCACCTCCTCCTCCTCACCCCACCCTTCGGCTCACTGACAGGAAGCAGGAGGCAACCTTGCCTCGTCCTAGAAGAGTGAGGGCTGAGCTCTGGCTGGGTGTTGTGTGTGAATGTGTGGTCGGCGTTTTGTTTAGAAGAGGATGTGGAGGGGTTTGACTGTAAAACTACTCCTTGTGTCGTGTGTGTGTGTGTGTGTGTGTGTGTGTGTGTGTGTGTGTGTGTGTATACTGTAATACATTTGTGCATTGACAGCCATGTGGTGTGAGCATCCTGTGTGTCTGCGAGAGAAAGAGCTCAGGGGATCACTTTGAATATGAGTAGAGGGGAACACAGCTGAGCTGTCTTTATCTCTGCTTGCTCTCCCTCCCTTTTTTCATCTCCCTCTCCCTCTTTCTCTCTCTTTCTCCTCACTTGTGTTTGCATAGTAGACGAAAGCGGGGTGGACTAGAAATGTGTGTGCACATGGATGTTTGCAGAGGAGGGTAGCCTGTGTACCTTCAGTGTGTGTGTGTGTGTGTGTGTGTGTGTGTGTGTGTGTGTGTGTGTGTGTGTGTGTGAGTGAATGTACAGTGTACTATGTGAGGTGGTGTGTACATTTGAGAGATATCAGTGGAGAGGAGTAGAACAGGGGTTCCAGCTGTGGGTACATCAGTCAGTCAGGATGGTGCAGCGCTTCAGTCTTCGTAGACAGTACTCCAAGGTAAGCTTAAAACATGCAAGCCTGTTTAGACATTAAAACCATGTTTGTGTCTTCCCACCTCTATTATGCAGCTCCATTCATTGCTGAAGGCACAGTTGTCTTACATTTTTCCACCCCACTGTCAATCTTTGTCTCTGTCTTCCAGTTATTTGGGTTTGTGTTTTTGGCTGCTTGATCAGTGCTTTGTTCAAGACAGCAGCCAAAATGGTGAAAACTAACTAAACTAACTGTTGTAAATTGCAGAAAGAGTGTATACATTAGTATATCAGGCAGCTGACAGCTGGGGAGAAAGCATTGTTTGGACAGTTCTTAGATATCATCTTGTTTTTGTATGCAGAGATTTTCCACTGAGTCTCCATTCACTTTTAGGTATTTCAATCCATACAGTAACCAAGTTGTCCGTCTTTGCACTTTATCTCAACTCTTGTTAAACAGTAACTCATGCTACAGCAGTAACAGTGGCAGCCTATAAGGACGATCAGAGCCGTCGCCAAGGGATGTAATTGTTGGTAAATATTATGTTTGATTATTGCTGATTGGGGAGCATTTATGGCTCATTTGCAATATAGTTTACAGTGCTCTGCAACTGTCCATGAGTTTGATATATCTATCCCCTGGTGGTGCTGCTGCTGAAAAGAGTATAGGGGCTGTGTTACAACTCAGTATTATGTCTGTTAAGAGCCTGCTGTTCTACAGCTGGTGCTCAGCCTCTGGGATTAATTACAATTTGCTGCTGATTAATTGATTGACTGAATGAACCCTCCCTATTCATCTTTAGCTCTGTGTAATGGCGCTGGCGGATATTCATATGCCTAGAAGCATCAACATCTACTTCCACAAATCCACCCATGGGCAGACAAAAGTACAGTCTCACTTTCAGACTGGAAGGCCTGATCCCAGACATGTGGAGACTGATCCAGTCTGGTCTTTCCTCTCTTCTTGAAGCAATGGAGAGATTAAACAGGAGTAAAAACAGACAAAGGAAGTAAAGGGCTGCAGGGTGCAAAATGTTTACTGTCAGGATGGAAGAGTTGTTTAAGACAGTAGATGGGAAAGAACCAGGGAGTAGACTCAAGTGGCATATTGAGCTACTGAGTTGAGATGAAACAGAAGCCAAGCCTTGAGGCTAGTACTCTCACAACATAAGACTTTTTGTGTGTGAGAGGGACTGATGCTGTGTTTGTCTGTGGAGCATATTGTCCTTCAGGGCCTGTCTGCAACTGTTCACTAACCTTGTCTCCCTTGGGTAGATGACCCCATCACTTTACCTCAGGCCACATATCCACATGTCCACCTGTCTTTCTGCTCAACGTACTTTGGTTTCCATGTCAGAGCTAACATTTTGTGTTCTGCAGTAAATCCCTAACCATCTCAAAACAAACATCCAGTCGAGCTGGAATCAGGCAGCTTTGTGTGGACTAAAACTGAAAATACTCTCAGCAATGTGGTTTGATATTATACTTTTTAAAAACTTTTGATTTTTTTTTTGAGCTCAGTATCTTATACATTGCAATACAGTTATCTTGTTTTCGGCTGCCCTCATTTAACTTAACTTCTTAAACTCAAATAACAGCATTGAGTGACATAGATGAAGAAATGTGTATGGGAAAAATACTGAATCATATGGAAGAGGGTCTGAGGAGGAGGAGGTGTGTTATATTTTGTATAAGGGATTTGTTTTGTACCATCAGATTTATTTAATGGCACACTAAAAGGTCGACTGTGAAGGAATAAGTGGCATCTAGCGATGAAATTGTAGAATGCAACTGCGTTGCTTCACCCTCCCCTTCCAAGCATGAAGGAGACGTTTGCTGTAAAAAACTTTAACTATATCCAGTGTTGGGTTTGTCCCTTCTGGGCAACTGTAGAAACATGACAGAGCCCATGGGAGGTGACCTGTGGTGTCTGTAGATAAAAACAGCTCATTCTAAGATGATGAAAACCTAATGATTCCTAAATTCAGGTGATTATACAGTAATAAAAACTATATTTTGTTCAATTTCTGCCGATATAATCTCCTAAATGTTATAACCTGGACATTTTAATGGCTGCAATTAATAATACTAAACTAATAATAAGGGCTGCACAATTAATCAAAATATAATCAAAATTGTAATATGGCTGGGTGCAATATGCAGATGATAAAAGTGACAAAACAGCATCATAATGACGTACTTTAGTGCTGATGCTGTCATGTAGATGACCTGCCCTACAAATCTTTTTTTCAGTAAAAAATCAGTTTGTGATGCAAAAATCTGAAGAAATCTGCATATCTGTCAAATAATCACAATATGATGTTGTGCAGCCCCACTAATAAT